TATCTATCTATCATCTATCTATCTATCTATCTATCTATCTATCTATCTATCTATCTATCTATCTATCTATCTATCTATCTATCTATCATCTATCTATTCTATCTATTCTATCATCTATCTATCTGCTCCGCCACTGGAGGTTTTTAAAGAAGAGACTGGACAGCCATTTGCCCAGAATAATATAGGGTCTTCTCCTGCTTGTGCAATGGATTGGAGGAGACGACTTCCAAAGGCTCTTCCAACTCTTATTCTGTAATTCTGTTAATCAGTAGAATGACTTACCTCCAAAAGTTGTGGGTGCTCCATCTCTGGAGGCTTTTTAAGGAGAGACTGGACAGCCATTTGCCTGGAAGGGTACAGAGTCTCCTGCTTGAACAGGGGGTTGGACTAGAAGACCTCCAAGACCCCTTCCAACTCTGTTATTCTGTATTCTAAAGCAGGGGTCTCCAACTTTGGCAACTTTTAAGAATTAAGCTTTGCTGGCTGAGGAACTCTGGGAGTTGAAGTCCATAATTCTTAAAAGTTGCCAAGGTTGGAGACCCCCTGTTCTAAAGGGAAGCTCTTAGATACATGTCTTCCCTTTTGAAGCTGAACGCAGGTTGCCGTGCTTGGCTGGGGTACTGGGCTGGCATAATTTCTAAGTTTGCAGGTGACACTGAAGCACATGAAGGCAGAGGTTTCCAAACTATTCAGTTCATTGTCCCCTTCAGCAAAGCTTGATGGTTGGCCCCTCAAAACAGTTATTGAATGGAAATAATGTAATAAATATTACTTTACCACAAATATCAATGTTTTGGATAGTCCAATTGATGCTTGGAGGTCAATACTCACCACTTTGGAGATGTTTGCATTGCACTCAAGACACAGACTAAGTTTGTGGTACAGATACAGCCACTAGATTTTTATCTGAATTAATGAAGCATGTGTGAACACAGTCATAGTGAGAATGAGCTCTATCTCACCATTTGCTATAGGATGTTTGTTTATTGCTCTGCCAGACTGATACCCGAAGGAAAAACAAAGATTAGAAACAAGTTGTTTGTTGATATGAGGAATCAAAAAGTTACAAAATGGTTCAATGTAAGTAAAATAATAGCATATCCCTCAAATGAATTCAACCAACTGGGTGATTCTATTGAATCAGAGTGCTCAATTAGGATAACAGTGGTGGTGAAAGGTCTTATGGATCAGTTCTTTAAAAAAAATGAGAATAAGTTTTTAAAATAACATTGCTGACTCCCCCCCCCCCACTTTCAGAAATAACAAAGAAATGTCCCGTGTTCACATATTTATCTTAGCCATGGTATGCTCAGTATGTCTGGGCAAAATGTCATGATGTACTTATACTATGCCAAGTGTTATGCTCAGTTATACTTCAGTCTTTGATTGCAATACATGAACACAACCACATCAAAATTCATCGAAGTGGCAAAGGCAATGTTTTGATCCTTAGTCTCCATTTCTGAAATTGTTGGCAGCATATAACATTTCAATAAAAATAAGTAGATTTCCCCCAAACAAATCAAAAGAAAACCCTGCAATGTTCTGTCAACAGTTTGGATGATTGTGTATTTAGGATTTAAGATACAAGGGCTTGGTTGACATATAATACTAAACCAGAATTCTTAAGCTGGTTTGTTGAATAACCATAATGGCCTAGTAGTGTATGTAAGGTTTACAAGAAACAGTAAGATAGCTGACTTTCATATTAATCTGATCAGAATAATCCACATATTTTAAATTTTATTTCTTTGATCATAATATTTCTTCAGATTAGCAAACCCCAATTTGCATGCTTACCAGCATGAAAGAAGTATGTTATAGTATAATCAAGTCTGCTTTATTTTATAAGACGTGTATCTTTATGTATTTATAGGAAACCGTAGAACTTCCTGGTACATTTGATGAATTTTTGGGCTTTTTTAATTTGGTATGTATGTTTATGAAATGATTTTAATAGTACTTTGAGTGTCTGGAAAATGGTATGAAAATTTCATTAAAAGTAGTAACAATAAACACCAGGGATGGTGATTGTGCAGTTTGAAACATCTGGAGATCTTTAGATTCCCCTGTTATAGATTAACCATCATAGCTCAGCAAAGGAAGAATACATGCAGGCATGATGGTTAATGCTGGGCAGCTTATCATGGAACTTCTGAAAGGTAATTAAGAAATGCTATGTGAGAGAAAAGAAGGGACACGGTGGCTCAGTGGCTAAGACGCTGAGCTTGTCGGTTGAAAGTTTGGCAGTTCGGCAGTTCAACTAGCACATATTTGCGACGGGAACCTTTACCTTCACATGTGAGATAAAAAGGCAATTAGTCAATGCTGTGAGAGAGACAAAAAAAATAGGGTTGAACAAGTATAATATGAATTACAGATTCAATACATCTTTTTTTTGCTATCAGCAACGGGGAAACATCACTTGGCAAAATTCCCCAGTGTTCGGTGCTATACAGGTAGTCCTCGACTTACAACTACAGTTGAGCCCAAAATTTCCATTGCCGAGCAAGACATTCGTTAAGTGAGCTTTGCCCCATGTTACGATCTTTCTTGCCACAGCTGTTAAGTGAATCTCTGCAGTGGTTAAGTTAGTAACACAGTTGTTAAGCGGATCTGGCTTCTTCACTGATTTTGCCTGTTGTGAGTTTGCAGAAAGGGATCACGTGACCTGGGGACACTGCAACCGTCACGAGTCAGTTGCAAATGGCTGGATTTTGATCATATGATCATGGGGATACTGCAGTGGTTCCACGTGGGAAAACTGCCCGGAAGTCCCTTTTTTTCAGTGTCATCGTAACTTGAGACAGTCACTAAACGAAAGGTTGTAAGTCGAGGACTTCATGGCTCCGTGTATATAACAAACACTTTAATATTATTTCTGCTTAACATTTGTTTTATAATGGCTGTTCTTTGCAGGATGATTGGCCAAGAGTCCCACACTTGCCAGATGTGAATCCTTATCCCTTGGTTTCCCGGATAAAAAATGACTATCCTGTGGATACTGTTGCCCAGTATCTTTATGATAATGCTCCGATGCCGTATGAAATTATTTCCAGGTTGGAAAAAAGAATAGATGAGTGCAAACTACAAGTCCAGGAGCATGCTAAACAGATATTTACATTGAAATCAGAGAAATCAGAAATAGATGAGCAGCCAGGACAAGGTAATTCTGTCTCTTAGCCAATAAGTCCATTTTGGGGAGGGGGGGATCAGTATTAATTTTAGAACTTAGAATAACAGAGCCAGTTGGGGCCTTGGAGGTCCTCTGGTCCAACCCCCTGCTCGAGCAGCTTAGACAAATAACTGTCTAGCTTTATAGTCCCCCGGGTGCTTTTTCAAAAGATAACTAGGCTTTTGGTTGAAGACGTTTCGCTTCTCATCCAAGAAGCTTCTTCAGTTCTGACTGAATGGTGGAGAATGGAAAGATTTATATTCTTGCAGTCTTCTGGTCATTAGCTCTCTTTCTGAGAGTTGTTGAAGCCACTTGGAGGTTTATCTGTACCCTCAGGGTCACCTGAATAGTGCAAATGGGTGCAGAACCTTCTGGAACTGCTGATGCCTCTTGGATGAGAAGCAAGGCGTCTTCAAGGAAAAACAAAGCCCAGTGGTTTTTTGAAAAAGCACCTTTGGGACATCCATAGAGATCCAGTTTTATAGGTTTCCTGCTTGGAGACAACAACCTGTGTTGAATAACATCTAAAAGGAAATGTAAAAACAGTTAATGTAACGTAAAAAGGCATCTAATAATGCCTTTTCAATATTTGATAATCTCGCTTGATTATACTGTATCTTTCTAATTCTTAATGTACTAGCCCTTAGACTGCCATACTGCTCTTATTTAGCTTATGATTACAGTAATATTTGTATTCATCTTGGGATCCATTAAAAATAGTTCTCTGGCAAAGAATGATAGGTTATCTTGCTTTGCTGTTGCAATTAGATTTTCTTCTTAAGCACAGCAGTGTAAATTTTTCTGGGATACATTTAAACATTTCCAAATCAGCGACCCTGCATTCACTTAACTGCCCTGGCTACCATGCCAAGGATTCAAGTAAAGTCTCCACCATGTCCTGTTTGTAGGCCAGCAGATACTTGGCACGTGCCTAGAAAGAAAGCAGATGTGTCCTATTTGGTGGAGTTGATGGTGATCAGAAAATTAGGCTCAAAAATTGTGGTCTGGCTTACAGCAGCAGGAGGGAAATTTTTCCTTCAGTGGCCAAAGTGGATTTAAAACACAGCCTTATGCAGGAGTATTCTCTTAAGGAGATGTTCTATTGAACTATAATCTCTTGCTTTCCACAGAAGTTATTTTTGTACCTACATGGACTGAAGTCATCCAAAAGATGCCTTCCTAATTCCCAGTTGTAATTATGTGTCTCTCTGTGTGTTTATGCATGTATATGTGTGTGCATGTCTGTGTACACATCAAGCACAAGCATATTTTCAATGGCCGAGAGATGAAGTGCTGTTAGACTCAGTGAAACTTAATTTTTGATTAATGAATAGAACAGCATGATTAATATTTGGATCTGAGGCTTTGGGCAGTTATGTTATATGGTTCAGGTATTAACTTTAGGAATCATGACAAAGCTTATCTTTCTTTACACACTGACCAATCACTTCAATTATTTTAAGGTGTCTTAATTGCATATGCTTGAAAATATAGGTAAATGTTTTCCCACTACATGGAAACTGTATTTTATATCTGGGAAGATGTTTAAAATTCTTAGCTTCTTTTCTTCTTGTTTTCAAGCTGATGTAACATCATCTCCTGAATCCCAGGATGCTTCAAAGAAGAAAATAAAAATCGAAATGAAGGTAACTCATGCATTGATTATCCCTTCCCGCCTCCTTTAAGAGATAGATTGCTACACTGAGAAAACTGGAGTTTTGCTAAGAAGTTTGCTTACATTGCTCTTAGGGTAAAAAAAACGAACAGCTGAACAACAGAGTTGGAAGGGACTTTGAAAGTCTTCTAGTCCAATCTGCTGCTTAGGCAGGAACCCCTATACCATTTCAAACAAATGGTTATCCCATCTCTTCTTAAAAATTTCCAGTGTTGGAGCATCCACAACTTCTGGAGGCATGTAATTCCACTCAAGTGTTTTATATATAAAAAACGTTCCTTTCTTTCTTTCTCCACCTTAAGTGAGGTGACTTCCAACAGTCTGCTTGTCCTGGTTTATTCATTCAGTATTTTGGATTAAACTGATGCATAAATGGGATATTTGAGCTTTTTGCAAATAAATGTTTTATTTAAATGACAGGCCAATACAATTAATATGTACCATTAATATTTGTATTCTGCTCTACTAAACAATTTGCTAGAAAAGTTATATGCAGTACACCTTCTCTTAAACTCTCATAGCAGAATGCTATTAATGTTGCACTGTGCCATGTCTCAGTGCATGGGATTTTGCATGACTTCTACCCTCCCCTTGGAAATTTCTCTATTTCTATATCTGGACTACATCTACTCTAGTTCCATATCTTTACGATGCATTTCTTTCTAATGTATTTCAGTTTCCTACTGAAGCTCCAAAAGACACAAGTACATTGGAGGTAAATGTATATAGTGTAGAAGTCAGCGATGAAATGGATCAATTCTAAACCACTGGGAATAGAGTTCTAAAAATTAATTTACACAAAGTATTTATCATCCAAACCTGAAAATGTAATTAATTGATAAGTGCTACCATTCTGGAGGAAGATATAAATTACAGCTTTGGGTTTTTTTTCCCCAAGCAATTATTTTAAAACATGGAAAACTTATTTTGTTCAAGCATCTTTTATCCCTTGTTGGGACAAAAACAAACCCATATTGTAGTTTAAATAAGCAATGCAAACTCAGTCATTGTATGAAGTATGTTTAACAATTTTTCAAAAATCTGTTTTGATCTGGTAAAGTTATAGTTCTTGTTGTAATGCTGAACATGTAGAGTTATGGATCCTTTGGTTGCTGTTCCTGCCACCCAAAATATGCCCCTAATCAAATAACACCCTAATGGTCAGTAGAAACATGATTTTCAAAATGAAGTATTTAATCGTATGTGCTGCTCTGAATTAGGAATCATCATAATTAGATTTTCTTTTTTAGAAAAAAAAAATGTCTGGTGGCAGGATGCATTTCAAACTTTGTTGCTTCGTGTGGTATGATGACTATGGCTCTTTTACATTTTTTTTAGAATTTCAGTTTTTCTGGATTCAATTTGTGGAAATTAACAAAACTTCCAAACAATCTAGAACCTGCACAGCTCTGGGATTTGGTTCTAAAACTCCAAATTTTCAAGGTACCAATTTTTAATTTTACTTAAATTGCAGCACCAAATGGAACACACATTTGTGAAACAAGAGGCATCTGTGAACAAGTGAAACCTTGGAACAAATTTGGGATAAATATATTCCTGCTCTTGTAATTGCCAGAATGTGACACTACAGAAAAGGACAGGACATTATATTAGGATTTATTTTTTTACAAAAAGCAAAACATTGAAGATGGCAAACAGCTTCTATATTTTTGCCAGAAAAACTACATTTTGTTAAGTCACTGAAAATCAAACATATAAGGAGGGTTTGTGTGTGTGTGTGTGTTTGTGAGATAGCACTTCATGGAAACAAAATTACGTGGGCAGAATCTGATCTTAGATTTTCCTTCAAAAAGTGGAATAAAGCTTCTAGATTTTAGAGGACCAATCCAGGATTAATTCCTTCTTTTTCTCCCTTCACTTCATAAGTTCAGCCTTCTTTTTTTAGGTCAGAAAATTTGCAGGAAAACAATTGACAAAACATTACAGTTTGTCAGAGTGCTCCAAATTTGTAACCATCTGACAACACTGTAGGAGTGCTCTGTTGATTGGTTGACAACAGTAGTCATATTGGTTAGCCACGTGTTATGAATTGCATACAAGAAAACTCCAGATTTCTAAAAGATAATCCCCCCCAAAGCTGGATTTCCACATAGAGTTTATTTGTTTTGTGTGTAGAACTGGCCAGAAAAAAAAAAGTATCTTGCATACTTTACAAATCAACTAAAAAATAAATGTAGAACTAAAGGCAGCTGGAAGGAATGCTGAATAAACTGGCACCCTGGCATCACTAGCAGATTTACAAGTACTGAGAAATTCCTTGTGGGTCCTTAGACTGTAGTTCAGGAATGTCTGTAAAAATTCCTCCCCTGAGTAGATATTTATCTATGACTGCATTTCTTATGTGCTCCATATATTACCAAGGTTCTTGAGATAGATTTCTCAAACACTGAAGTGGACAGATATGAAGATACTTGTCTTCCTAATTGTCCTGAAATGTTCCAGGGATCACAGTGCAGCTGAATCTCCTGACAGGGTCAGACTGGTAATCCTCGACTTATGACAACAATTGAGCTCAGAATTTCTGTGGCTGAGTAAGACAGTTGTTAACTGAGCTCTGTCCCATTTTATGACCTTTTTGCCATAGTTAAGTGAATCACTGCACTTATTAAAGTAGAAAGATGGTTGTTAAGTGAATCTGGCTTCCCCATTGACTTGGCTTGTCAGAATGTTAACAAATGGTGATCACATCACCCTGGGACACTTGCAACCGTCCTAAATATGAGTCAGTTGCCAAGTGGCTGACTTTTGATCACATGACCAGGGGGATGCTAGAGCGGTTGGGTGAAAAACAGTCAGAAGTCACTTTTTCCAGTGCCACTGTAACTTCGAACGGTCATGAAACAAACGGTTGTAATTCAAGGACTACCTGTACAGCACTACTTCCTCATTGGATTGTGGTTAGTTTCACCATATGACATGGAAGAAATACTGGGGGGGGGAGGGAGGGAATAGGCACGGCAAGCTTTCTCTTCTTTCCATCCTTGTTCCCATGACAAATCCTACAGTCCTTGCTTAAATTTATGAGATTGGAACCAAATTCACGTCTGAACAAGGTCTCTTCCTGGCTTGATCCCCTCTGCTACAACACGGCATGAACAAATAGCTGATTCAGATCCACTGTCAGTCTGCCGTGTTCGCGTTACATCAAAATAGGTATTCCAGTTTCCTGCAGCAGTTTCTGTTTTGAGATAACGATTGTCCCTTGGAATAAATTCCTAATCTATTTTTAATGGCATTTGTATTTTCCATTTTCATTATGTTTTGGATGGAACCGCCAAGATAGAATACTTGGTTAATAAAATGTCTGCAACCAGTGCAATAAATCAGTGGTTCTGTTTACAGTATAAACCTCTGAACAAATTAATGAAATAAAAAGGAAACTTGAAATAATATTTGAATTACCGTATAAATATATTCACTGTTAAGCAATAGCTTTGAACCATGTTGAACACATAAACAGTGGGGCAAATGGACTCCCTCGAAGATGAATATGTTTGGGACGTGCATAAAAATGCCCACTCCATTTTCCTGTGTCTTTTTTTCTTTTTTGGACAGGGTACCAATACTCAGGTTTTGAAGCAGCTGTTTTTTTCTGAAGCATCTCTTGCGATTTTGCAGGATTCTTTCTGGTGGTGGTTTCTTCATAAGTACCAGGTACAAAACTGAACGCCTTATCATGTTTGATCTTATGAAAAAAAAGTAGTTGACATTACAATATAAGATTTCTTGTGCAGCAAGGAATGATGGGCTCTTTGGCACTTAATGAAACAGCTGGATTCAATGTAGTTTTTTTTCCACCCAGAGGTCTGAGGTTTTCAGAGATTCTATATTTGAATTTTTTTTTAAAATAAACCTTTTAAATAAAGTTTTGGCCAAATTAGAACCCAGTCTTGATGTTCCCTTCTTTTTCATGCTCACAGCTATTTCTATTTTAAATGCAGCACAGGTAGAACATTGAAATGCTTATGAAGTTATGTCAGTCATGCAAATGCGCCTTCAAGCAAATCCAGAGATGCTTGATTTGTGAAAGCACTCCTGCACATACAATGCTCTAAACTAGTTTAACCTGGGGTTTGTTTGTTTATTATTTTGGCCTTCTAAGTCACTTCAGTCCCCCAAACTTAGTCAGGTTAATTGCATTATTACTTTTACAAAAGTGCTAAAGAAAGTTTATTGCAGTCTTGCTTATGGCATTTGCATGTTACTTTGATCAGCTGCTAATGACCTACCTGGATAGGTCTAGTTTTGGTAAAAATTGCTGCCTTTCTAAACACTCATTACTTCAAGACTACTGACAACAATTCTGTATAGATGTTTTTAACTGTATAGACTTTGCTTAATCTTTTCTCCTGATTTTTTCAAGCCTGATCAAGAGGAACAGGACCACTTTTTTGACAGGATAGCCGATAGCTACGTGATGCTTCTCTGGAGCATCCCAAGTTACATTAAAGATGCTTTTCTTCAGGTAATGACGTTGTTTGCAATTCTGAATTTTACTCCTTCCAATTTTGATTTGTCCTGTTCAGAGAAGAGCAAAAGGTGTGTTGCCTTTTTGCTCATTATCTCTTAATTTAATCTGTTTCTGTTGATGAACATACCAGAATCCTTCAACCTTTCATTCTGTGACATGCCTTCAGGCTTTGTTATTGCCTCTGAAGTTTTTTTTTTAAAATTGTTTGTGGCAATCTTAATTACTTAGCATACAACTGTACCAAAGCTTGAGAAGGAGATTTATGAATCTAGCTGACGCCTTCCTGAATAACACAGAGAAAAGAGGTTATAATTTATTTTCATATTTGCTGGTTCTTCCATAATCAGAATTCCTTGGGCAATGGGCACTCAGTGTAAGAACTTCAATCTCTTGATAAGAAAAGATAGTTTCATTTCACTTTCCTCATTCATCCTGTAAGCAGTTTGGTACTTCTAGATATATTATAAGACCTGGCAGGGCTGACATGCTTCAGGTCCCATCACTGTCATAACACTGATAAAGTTTGCCTTCTGCAGGAGAAGGATAGGCAGAGACAGCGGGCAGAGTCAAGAGAGGAATCAGCCTGGAATCATTGCATTCCCACAAAGTCTAACCCCTCTTGAATTCCATTAAATCATGTCTAGCATCAATTTAGCACTGGCGGTTAGTTGACTAGATTCATGTATATAAGCATGAGCAACAGCTTAATTGGAACTTAATGTGTGGCCCTGATTCTGCACCCCTTACGCCTTCTCTGTGATTGCCCTTTATAACAGAATCTCTGACTTTTAGGAAGACTCTTCCCACAAGCTCTGGCCCCACTAACTTCCACGCAGTTGTTAAGTGGTATTTTTGATACTGTTTTCCTCCCTAGAATGTTTTTTTTTAATTGTTTATTGTTTTTTAGTCCTGTGTAAGCTATCCAGAGTCCCAAGGAATGGGGCAGACTTACAAATTGATTAAGCAAAATAAATATAGGATGTTGCAGTCTCAACTCACCTGAAAAGCAGCAATTGGAGAAGGTGATTCTAACATGCCTTTTGGTCTCAGGTTAAGCTGCCTGCTCTGTGTTCAGCACCTCTTCTAAGTTGCTAGGGCTTTTTATCATAATGTTTATATCTACCACAAAATTAATGTGATGAATTAATTTTAATTAATTTTAAAAAATAGATGAAGATGTCTCCTTACTGGTTTGACCCATAAATTCAGTTGCTTCGCAGTAAGCTAACCTGCCACCCAAACCTGCCATCTTTTGCATTGGGCCTTCAGGCCTGCCACCTTTTCTACTGTGGGAAAATGGGAGGGGGGATTATATGGAGTTTGGGAGATATATAGTCTAAATAACGTTCCTCAAGGACACCTTGCCCTGCGCCCGGAGTGGCATGACTGGGAGGCATCTCCCAGTCGGGACGGTGTTTGATTGGACCATGTGATAAACATGTGGGAGCTGGGCAGGGACTTGAACTTTCTTTTGGGTGGGGAAAATTGGAAACTTTCAGATTCAGGTTTTCGCAGATGTGCCAATATGACATCTCTAATAAAATGGAACTTTGAGGAAACTCAAGCTTCGGAGTCTTCTTTCTCTCGGAGTCTGGGGGGTATTACTTGGAACCCTGACACAACCCTTGTATTTTTGTCACAGCTAATGATTCAGCAATATTTGAATGCCTGTTTATTTCTTATATATAAAAGCATCACCCAATTTTTACAATGAACTTAATTTGCAACTTGGCAGATGTATCCTGACTGCTTGTCCCAGGCCATTTACATTACTTTCTGTGAAGCTTTTCCTCAGGCTTGCCATCGTTTCAATGATCAGTTTAAAGAAGAATTGATGGATTTAATTTTCCTGTGGATCAGAGGTACTAGAATGTTGATTGTTTTTCCTTGCGGTTGTTGGCAGTAGCATATCTCAGTAGTTGTTTACATAATTGGGTCTACTCAGCATTTTCTTTACGAGTTCTTCAGAAGTAACATTCAGCTAGAAATTAGGGTTAAGTCCCTGAAGAACAGCTCAGTTCAGGAACCCCAATTAGAATATCCCAAACAGATGGTTGTCCAGCCTTTATTTGAACACATTCCAGTAAGGTGAGCCCATCATTTTTTCTCAATAATTAGTTCCATCGTTGAACTGTTCATACGTATAGTTTTTTGAAAAAAAACCACATTTGTTTATAATCTTCCTCTTCAATCCATCGTTCTTTGTCCCACTTTTTCAGACCTGGAAGCCATCTTTTACCTTTTGGACTTCAGGCCTGCCACATTTTCTATTCTGGGAAAATGGGAGGGGGGATTATACAGAGTGTGGGTGATATGTAGCCATAATAACATCCATTCTCAGAAAGTCAAGGTCAACTGGCTCTGCAGCTGTGAGGAGGTGACCGGGAGTCAACACCTGGTTTGGATGGTCCCCTTTAGACCATGTGATAGACATGTGGATGCTGGGCAGGGACCTGGACTTTCTTTTGGGTGGGGAAAACCTGGAAGCTTTCAGATTCGTTTTTCCCCAGATGTGGCAATAGGAACGTCTCTAATGAAATAGAACTTTGAGGAAACCCAAGCCTTGGAGTTTTCTTTTGTTGGGGATGTTATGTGGAACCCTGACAATAATCCGAATCCCTTCTAAACAGCTTTACTAGCTCCACCGAACTTCAGGGTGTTGTCCGGGGTCCTGAGCCCCAGCATTGACCTGAGTCCAGGCAACACAAAGACTCAGGGAAGATGACACACACTCTCGAACAAGCAACAGATGCCTTGACTTTTCTTCCATGTGGCATATTGAGAGATTGGAGTTCTAGTCCTCCCTTGGCCTTGAAACTGATGACTCTCATGGCCCAGTCCACCGCACAGGGTTGTTGCAGGGAAAATAGGAAGCAGGATCATTATGTGTACACCATCTTGCTTTGTACAAAATAAAGTTGGAATAAAAATCTAATAATAAGAAAATTTTAATATCCTCCCATAAAATCATAGAACTGTAGGAATGAAAGGGACCACAAGGATCAACTAGCCCAGATATCCCCCAAAGTGGTCAGTATCTGCAAATATGGTCCATTATTGTTGTTATACTATTGTTGTTATTGATATAGTATTGTTCTTCAAAGTAATATTAATTAAAGTAGTATGATATTTATCAAATTGTGGATCAATGAACAATCTGCCACTTCATAAAGGGGCCAATGATCTGAAGAACTTGGGGACCCCTGATGTAGTACAAAAAACATTTGGTTGATTAATATTGTTCAGGTCATTAGTTGTCACTCTTACAGGTTTTAAACCTCAAAAGTTTGCTTGGAAAAATTGGAAGTGCCCGTCAACGGAAAAACCTAGAAAATCCATTGTAGAGAAAGACTCCACTTCTCAGACATCTTCAGAAATGCCTAAAAGGATATCCATATCATGGTCAAAATCCAGTTCAAGGTCAGAATCAACATCAATAACAAGAACAAAAACCTGTAAGTACCAAGAAAAGGGATTCTCCCATGGTTCTTTTGAGAGTTTTGTGGAGTTTATTTATTTCGCATATGAGGAAGTTACATTCGCCAGGAGACCACAATGCTATTACAAAGTAGTTGTTTTGTCTGCCTGTTGGTGTTCATGCTCAGTATCTATTTATCTACTACTTGCATTTTGCATGCTTTCAAGCTGCTCAGTTGGCAGGAGCTGAGACGAGTGATGGGAACTCACCCCGACCCACAGTGCTAGGGCTCGAACTGCTGGAGTACAGACCTTCTCCAGCATCCTTAAGCTGTTGAGCCACCAGACCTCTCCACTATGTGGAGGGTTATATACCAAAATCGGTAACTTTTTTAGAATACAATTTTCACTTCTTCAACTGTAGTCTTATACAGCAATATCCACAAGGAACAATAGTGAGATTTATGCAATTGTAGACTGCTGCTTTATTTTGAGTGTAGGAATGTCTTGAAGATTTTCTGGAAAATCACATGAGGTATTTCTGAACGAATCTGTGAGATATGAAGCTCATTACTGATTATTATCTTTGATGGACAGATCAGTAACATATGTGATATATACATAGTGTTCTGACCCAGGTTTCCTTAGAAAGCTAGAAGCAAAATCTTGGTCCCGACAAAACCTCTTTTATTTCCACGACTGTGAAATCCTTTCATTCACAGTCAGCAAGGCTTGGCAAACAGTCTTTCAGAGGAATGTTTATCCACACACACTTTATCTCGTTTGGAGTGCTGCCAGATAACTAGTTTCCAAACACAGGAAAAAGAAAAACTCGGCACAGAGTCTCTTATAACCACAAACAGAAGTTTCTGAACCAAATGATCAATTTTTTTTTCTTGCAAAAGCCCACTTCTCATTCGTTCCTCTTTTGTTCCTCTAGGAGGGGCCAATCACCTCCAAGGTGTGGCTTTACTCTTAAGGCAACCCTGCTTTCTTAGTTGTTCTTGTCTTCTGGCAGCTCTGCATATGTGCATACTGGGACCAGGCTCCAGCTGTTCTTCTGCCTCACTGCTGTCTAACTCCCTCTCTGCCTCTGACACAGAGTCCTCGTCTGAGCTTTCTTCAATCCCCAGGACTGACCCATGATCCTCCCCAACCTCCTCACTGTCTGATTCTGCTGCCAGCTCTGTGGCTGCTGGCAGACCATCACATGTAGTTATTACAGTACCTCCAACTATCAGTAGGGGACATAAACAGGAGGCTGCTTCTGCAGTTAGGGTGACTTGTCAGCTTCTGAAGAAATCTAATAACATGAGGAAGAATACTGGATTAGACAGGCCAGCAAATGTGTTACCTTTGGGACTCTCTCCATTTGCTCTGAATGAAAATTGGTCCATATCCATTGGCTTATTAATCCTCTTGGGGGAAAAAAAAGGCAAGTAGTGCCAATTGTGAAGCCAAAGGGAAGAAGCTGGTTTTCATTTGGACCAGTCGTGGTGTATATCTTCTGACCCTCACCTAGGGTGGCTCCGTTCTTTGGGGTGGAGTGGGGAAAGGGTTTGCAGTTAATGTCACGCCTGATTTCTCCATCCGAGGATTTGGCAGTTCTGAGCGTCTTCCATTAAACCTTCTGAATTTGCCGTCTGAATGGATAGGTTCATTTTCTCTCCCTTGACTTCTCATGATGGGGCAGCCACTTCTGTCACTTTCAAAATATTAGCAGCAGCCTTAACTGGCAGTGGAAATGGCATTTGGTGTTTTTTGTTTTTGTTTTGCAAACAGGGGTTGTTGTATCCGAAACTTTCATTGCAAGAATTGCCACAGGCTGTCATTTTTGTCTCTTATCCAGTACATATTGGCAGGAGTTTTGTGTACTAGACTTCATGTCTGGTCATAAGAGGAGAAAAGAAAGGGCCGCTAAGCCAGACTGTTTTGATACTCCTTTGGAATTAAAAGCATATGAAACAGATGCATCTTGATAATTTTTTTTTTATAAATAACATCAACTTAAATAACTTAAAACAATAAAGTTCAATTATAACTTAAAATAAAGTTTAATGCTGTAACCACAGAAAAGCATGAATATCGGTTGGGAAAAAAAAACGTAGAAGCCATATGCCCAAACAGAAATTATATAAAAAGATTAGGTTATGTTACATAAAAACCCATATGATGATGTCTGAATTTTTCTTACTTCATCGTTACATAAAAGGATATTTTGAGGAAAGTGAGATGAAATACATTTTCCTTATTATTAATATTATTTAATATTACACTATTTTGTAACATCTTTCAGAGCAGCATTAGGCATTCTTACTGATAGATATGAATACATTGCAGTGATGCAACTTTCATCTGTCATATTACCTTTATTGTCTTGAATACCACAGCGTTCCAATTTCAATTTGCTTTAATACTTAAAACCTTCACTTATTTTTATTATTTTTTCCTGGGAAGTATTTAATACTGCTTAGCCTTTACGATTCGTACCGACTTGATCATCTGAAGACTTAATCCAGCAGCCATCAAGTCCGTCATATAATTTTACATAACATTTTCATCTGCTTTATTATTATTATAGCAGCCATGTTTAACGAAGCAGATAGGTTTATTTTAAATAAAAGATCATCAGATAATCAAGTCATGAACAAAGGCGCAAAGGGTACATTTAATTTAAGAATCTGCAAAGCTACTCTTATGCTAATGTAAGGATCGTACAACTCTTTACAATTTTTTACAACTTTTAGTTACTAATCTGAAGTAGTGTATATTTTCATTATTTATTTATTTATTTATTTATTTTTAAAGCCAGTCTCTTAAAAATAAAACATCGTGCTCAAGTCCAGCTTGTTCAGTTTTTCAGTAGTATTCCAGCTTGTCTTCCTTTCAAACAGTCCCCTTTTCAAATGATATATCTATATATCTATATCTCGTTTGATATATACATATATATATATTTTGCTGGAACTGGTTGTCCATAGTTCATATAAGATTAGGATATTGTAAATGGAAGAAAATGGGAGGAAGTGTCTTCTTTGCTTGTTTTTGGGCCTCTTTTCGGGGCTCCATTCTGTTTTAATGCGATGTACATTTCTTTCCCTTTGTGGGTCCAGTTTGCTGAAGCGTAGGTGTTATAGTGATTCTCTTGAATGAGTTCTACGAAGTTGCAGTCTTCATTGCACACTTTCTGTTGTTTAAAAGAAAACAAGATGATCAGTCGAATACTGAAAAGACCTGGCAGGGTGTGTGTATCATTTCACAAAAATCCTATTTTCCTTGAACTGAGGTAGTCCTCGAGTTATGACCACAATGAAGCCTACCCGTTATGGCCGTAACAGTCATCAAATGGGTTGGTTCTACTGTGGGAACTTCAGGTTGTAAGTCCCCTGTTTTGTAAAAGGTCACTAAGCGACCAGTTGTAAGTCGAGGGCTACCTGAACATAGTACAATCCACTTAAAACATACCTACTGACTATGCAAATGCCTTACACTTTTTAATGAGAACCAATATACGTCAGTAACATTCCTGATGTTGCTGAACAGCTTTATCATCCAAAGCGAACAAGGTCAATTGCATGGGCTGCTGGGAGTTGTAGTTCAGCATTTAATCTGCCTCGGTGAAGGAGGCAGGATAAGGGTGGCATAGCTGGTTAGGAGAAGAGCCCAAAGCAAAATAGGCAAATAAAGTAAATCAGAATTCCAAAACCGGCAAGAAACCACGGATCAACCTGCCAGCAGCTTCTTCTTCATGTTGACTTTTGTTTGGCTCCTTTTTTTTTTTTTTTTTTTAAAGTGGCTTCTGGGAGAATGAAGTCAAAACAGAGAAAACTCTGATCTCCAGGAAGTTTGCATTCCAATGCAACTGTCCGTAAATGAAAGCCATTCATAAAAGCCATCAGTAGTATGCCATCATCTAGCAACTCACATGGACTGGGGCCAATAGAGTGTAAAACAGCAGCCCCCAAGCATTTGGGGCATCAGGGACCAGTTCCACGGAGAGAGGTCTTTCTGTGGACAAGAGGGGTTGTGGTTTCTCATGCTGCCTGAATCCCGCAGATGGGGCTTCGCTTATATACGTGTCCCGGTTTCTGGCATGCCACGGACCGGTGCCAAGCCACAGACCAGGGGTTGAGGGCCCCTGGTATAAAACACAGCTGATCAAAAACAAACCAAAAAAAAATCAGGAGCAGACCTATTTTTTATTTATTTAATGCAAGTGGTTTCTAATAATAAGTACCTTTCCATAAAGCTTCCCAGATTTGTTCATAGCCAGAAAGTATTCACTTGCGACTCCTTTGATTGCCACTA